TCCACCCCGATTTCCATCCTTGACTCTTCCAAGCAAGGCACTGTGCAACATAAAGCCATGGTTATGTGAGGAGAGGAGGTGCAAGGGTTTTACAGTCAGATGAACCTGGAGTCAAATCCTGACAATGCTGCTCCTTAATTTTGTGCCTTGGATAAATTACTTAACTTTGTAAACTTTCATATCTTTAATTATAAAATGGAGCTACTACTTACTGTTATTTAACAATGGCAGAAGAGCTCTATACATTTGTTGTGGAATAAAATAATACATATAAAATACAATGGGTGAACCTTAGGAACCTCTCCGATGAATGGCCTCCTAGGACACAAAAACAGCAGGCCTGGTGGTCCTCACCTTGGGGACTTAACTTTTGAGATGACAAGTTATACATGCATGAAAGCCATGGTTGATAACTGAGGTAGCCTGTTGCAGGGACAAACATGTAAGACTGGGAATCAGGAGGCCTGAGTTTTTAACATTTCTGGTGAGTAACTTTACACAAATCACTTTTCTGTGGGTCTCATTTTCCCTGGCTGCAGGACAACAAGACTGGATTTCTTCTATTTTTTTTTTTTTAAGAGAGATTTTTTGGTACAGGCTACATGCACTCACCAGAGAGACAGAAAGAGAGAAATCACGCCTTTGGGGGATGGCCATGCCACAATCCCTTCTCCTCCATTCTCCTCTTGGGATTTTGGGCATGCAGCAAATGCGTCCAGCATGAGTTTCAAGCCACCGAGTCTGGGACTCGAACCATGGTCAGCCATGTGGCAGTCCAGTGATGCAACCATTACACCATCTGCTGGTCTCTGGACTACATTTCTTTAGCATTCTCAGGTTATGCATGTATGACTTATAATGAAAAGTGAAGCTCTAACTGCTATATGAGTTCTGAAGAGACATACAGGCACACTGATTTGGGGAAGCTCTGTGGAGACCTGGACTTGTACTAAGACCTGACTTGGGATACTGGAGGGAAGGGCAAAGGGCAAAAAGTCTGGGAAAAATGGGAAGAGTATCCAAAGGAGGAATGTGTCAAGCACCCTGAAGGGACAATTAGATCAATCTTAACTGATGAGATTCATTACCAGAGACAGAAAGGTAAGGAGAGATCAGACTCCAAAGAAGTGGAGTAGAGAAAGGAGTCTGGATGTTGTCCTGGAGTTAACACGAACAAGCAAGTGGCAATAAGCAAACATATTTTTTGCCTTTCTTCAGATTTATCTTACGCTTCTGATTGGGAGCATACCTGATTGGTCAAAGTGGGAAAAGGAATGGGGCACACATGGCCCAGCATTCTCCATTCTGCCCCAGTGACTCTACTTCAAATGGATAAACTCACTGAGGGAGTAGCAAGCATGCCAATTCTGGCCCTGAGCCCTTGAGAATCTTTTAATTCAGTTTATCAGTAACACAACTGAGAACTGGCTCTCCATCTCTGTTGACTATTTCCCAACTGATTTAGAATTGAGAATGGGGACAGGGAGACTTGATTTACCATCATCCCCGACTGCCAACATGAATGAGGTAATAGCAGTGCTTCAGAAGCACTGGCTAGGTGGCAGCAGCAAGATAGACTGAAGGAGAAAAAGGCTGGAAGCCTCGTAAATCAGTTGTGGTGCTCCTATAATAATCCAGGCATTTTGCGAATCATTTATAACTACCAAGTAATATCCAGGGTCTAATCAATAACTGCTCAAATCAAAACATGTACTGGGGCCAAATCTGCAAGAGTAAATCAAAGAGCACAAAAAAACCTGAAGACTTATTAGCATATCTTTTATCAAGTAATATCTTTTCATAACTAAAACTGCTTCTGCTGACCAGTGGGATCATTAATTAAAAGGACCAAATCAATTCTGTAAAGATATAAAGGAGAAGAAATGAAAGGCTAACCAATTGGTCTAGAACCTTATCTGGGCTACATGGAAGAATTCTATTACATTATAGATCAATATTATACAGCCCCAAAATAGAGAGAAAAAGCCTCCCATAACTTGTTACATTTCTAAAGAGATAACCATTCCCATCTATCTGTCAGTCTCCTCTCAAGGCTATTTCCTAGATTTCTAAACCTCAAAATGTTCTGCTGTCTCCTAAGTTAGCAGTTTTTGCAAAGACTACCAACTTCTGCAGCTCACTTAGACTTTATATAGCCTTATTAGATTAAAATTAAATTCCATTAATTATTGCTACAAATATATAACAAAGCCTTTAAGTTTTTCATTGGTCAGCATCCTGATTTTGCTTATACATTTTTTTTTTTTAAGAGAGATTTCTGTTATAGGGCCTGTGTGCTTGATGGAGAGACACAGATAAAGAGAAAGAGAAACCACCTCCTGGGGGTATGGCCATGCAGTAATCCCTTCTCCATTCATCTCTAAGGATTTGGGGCATGCACACGCTCATGCCCAGTGTTGAGTATCAAGCTGCCAGGTTTGGAACTCCAACAGTGGTCAGCCATGTGGGAGTCTAGCACCTTAACCACTATGCCATCTGCTGGCCCTCTGCCTACATATTTGACACCCAGCCTTGTTCTGTAAAATGCTTGTTCATTCCTGAAAATGGAAATAATGACAACTCATATCCCACACTACATAAATGCGAATTCCTTAAAGTCAGTAAGACTATAATCATTAAAGCCTAGTGACTAAGTGAGCTCAGATACCTATGGCTTTTCCCTGTTTTCTACACCCCAACCTGACTCCTTAATAAGGCTGTGAAACCCTCCTAGAGTTACCCTACCCATCAGACACTACCCTCATTCCTCATTGTTCTCTGTGATAACCCAAAAACTCACTCCTGCTCATGCTGATTCTCCTTCACATGTACTATTACCCCAAGGAGCCACTTTGGCTTCCTTAAAATACTTTGGAGATGAAAATTATTAAAAGAAACTAGAAAGTCACTCTCCCACCCCATCCACATGCTGGAAATCAGAGTGTGCTCACTGGACTTAGGGAGAAACAAATTAGAATCTGATTCTGTCTACCTCTGTTTTTTTTTTTTTTTTTTTTTTTTTTGAGAGGTTTTTGCTGTAGGGCACGTGTGCTCACCAGAAAGACAGAGAGACAGAAAGCGAGAAATCACCCTCCGGGGAGATGGCCATGCCGCAATCCCTTCTCCTCTGTTCTCCTCTCGGGATCTTGGGCATGCACACACACACATGCACCCAGCATGAGTTTAAGCCACCGGGTCCAGGACTTGAACCATGGTTGACTACATGGGAGTCCAGTGACATAGCCATTACGCTAACTGCTGGTCCTCCTACCTCTTGATAAGGTATTTTATGGTCATTTTCTGTAAACTACATTCCTATGATCCCACCAAGCCTCTTTGATAGGCAAAGGATGAAATCTCCTGCTTGGCAGAAGGGAATGAGTATTATATGGCAAAATTTTAACTTGGATCAAGAAATGACCCATCTGGTCCCAACAAATTGGTCCTCTGAAAACTAACTGAACTGTATAATCAACTCCAAGTTACAGCACCTAATGCTTAAAATGCTTTCTCTCTAAAACACACCTCCTTCATGCCTGACCCAATGCAGGTCTGGTGGTCTCATTACTCTATGTTCTGTTAGCATTCACATTTGTTCTAAAACATATGTAGACAGTCACCATGTAGATATACTATCTCTGCACGTAGATTTTAAAAATATAAATTCCTTTTAATAGAGGTCATATATCTTTTGTATTTCCTAAAAAGTTTCAATGTTATGCACAAAATAATTTAGAAAGGAATAAAATGAAAAACATTTCATTTGTGTAAGTGACAAATGTTGAATTTCCTGTGTAAAGAATACACTTGCTATCCTGACAGAATCTAAAATCAGGACCCTCATGTATCACACAGTCCACAGTTAATCTGTAACCACACCCTCTGATCTCTACAAATCTCTATGGTCTTAGTTAATTAATATTTTCCGAGGGCATGCTGATGTGTCAAGACCATGCTAGACATCAAACTAGAGAAACAGATCAGGAATGATCCTACACTCAGTACTTTGAGTCTAGAGAAAGGAAATCAGCACTCTTCCCTCTGGGACTCAGCATACCCCACTGTTCTCCCAAGCCACCTGCACCACTGACTCCCAGGACTGTGTACCCTCCTCATAGTGGCTCCCCTGCCTCTCTACACTGCTGCTGCCCTCCTTGTATCAAACCTGGGGTATCATTTCCTTTGTACCCTGTCCATGTCAAAAATTCAACATTTTTTCTTAATTAAAAAATAATGGTGGGGCCAGGAGATGGCATAGCAGTTACATCACTGGGCTCCCACACGGTCAACCACGGTTCAAGTCCTGGAGCTGGTGGCTTGAAAATCACCTGAGTGCTTGCATGCATGCCCAAGATCTTGGGAGGAGAATGGAGAATGGATTGTGGCGTGCCCATTTCCCCCATGAGGGTGATTTCTCACTTTCTCTCTCACTGTCTCTTTCTCTCTCGTTCCCTGGCAAGTGCACATACCCTAAGGTAAAATCTCTCCATTAAAAAAAAAAAAAAAAAGTAACGGCAAGAAATTGCATGGCCAGTATTAATTAAGGTTATCTTTCTCTCATTAAAGGTTGACAAAACTGACCACTTTTGGCTGAAAGCTAGTATGGACAAAAAGAGCAAATAATCATGAGATTTAAGGGGATTTAAAATCTACACAGGGCAGGTCACCGGTCACTAATGAAGACTGCTCAGTACTCAGTACGCAGGCCAAAAAGCATAGTTGGGGTTTCAAAAGGGTGGGAAATTCCCGAGTATCTTAAAAACACTAATGTTTCTAAAGTACTGTAACTCCAGAAATGCAAATAGAGAATGATCACCTTAGGACAGCCTGGCATTAGAACCAAGTGATAATCCCCACTAGTCATTTTACATAAGTGAGGTAGGACACATAGGCCTCTAACAGTGGAGCAAAGTTATGCCCAGAAGCTTGGGCTAATGCCAAAGGCACACTATTCTGCAGATGCAGAGACAGGTGCTCAGAGCAGGGAGACAGGAACACACCTGGACTTCTTGGACTTCGTCCTAGCTGCAGAGTCAGTGCAGCTCCTCTTCTCTTTGGCCTCCTTGGTGCCCGAGGCTTCCCGGGGCTTCCGGGTCTTCTTTACTCCATCCCTCTGCTTCGGCTCCTTGGGCTCCTTGGCCTTCTTCGGCTCCTTGGTCTTCCTGGGCTCCTTTGGCTCTTTAGGTTCTCGTTTCCTCTTTGGCTTGGGCTCCCTGTCTTTGCTTCCCTTTGCTGCACCCTCTTGCTCTCCTGCCTCCTTTTTCTTCCGTTTCTTCTTCACTCCAGTACCTCCTCCTCCACTGTCCTCCATCCCATTATGAGAGGTCATTTTCCTAGGAAAAAGGGTAGCAGTCTCCTCTGCAGCAGCAAACAGGTCCTTCTGGGACAAACGGTGACTAGCAACATCTTCAATTTTCTCGTCCTGGTCAGTGCTGCAGTCAAATGGGGATGGAGATTTGTAGTCAAAATTGACAGAGGCATCAGACATTGGGGAGTGATTCAGAACTTTTAAATTTGACAACTGAAAGAGAAAGAAATAAGCATATTACCCTTCCATCTCATGCTTCATACAAAGAGTACTATTAAGTCTGAATGCACGGATGTGTTCAGCAAATATTTACCAAGTTCCTATGACATATTAGTCCTGCTGTGCTAGGCCTTGAACAGGACACACATGATCTTTATGGAGCTGTACCATGCTGTACAACAGTCATTATGAAAAAGCAATATAGGATTTCCAAATAATATACAAAAATCCAAACCACCTGTTAAGCTTTATGTCTAAAAGAGGGAACTACAATCATCATCCACAAAATAAAGTGCCAGCAGGTGGCATGGTGATTAAGGTACTGGATCCTGCATGGCCAACTTTGCCAGTTCAAGTCTCAGACCTACAGGCCTGAAAAATGGTGAGTGCATATGCATGCATGCTCAAAACCCCAAGAAGAATGAAAGAGAAGGGACTGCGGTATGCCCATCCCCTGTGTGTGTGTGTGTGTGGGGGGGGGTGACTTCTCCTTTTCCTTCTCTGTCTCTCCAACAAGCGCCTGTACCCTATAGCAGAAAATATTTTTTTAAAAAATAGTAATCATCTACTACTGACAGACACAAACTCCTAGGCACACTTTGCTAGCCCTGAATGGCATTTATCATGTTAATACAAAAAAGTTACTTAAATAGGTTCTGAGACCTCTGTCATCAATTAAGGTGATATCACAAGGTGGATAAGGATCCGAATCCAAATTCAGTGTGCTGCTTTATTTCTCCAAATCTTTGTTCTCTCCAATCATTCAGCAGTGTCAACATTTGGTGCAACTGATTTTCAACAAGAAAATCAGGATTATCCAAAGGAATGCCTTTGATTTTAAGGAAAAATGGTGCTTTGAATGAGCATCTAACCTGGGCACCAGACTCAGCACTAGGTAACCTTTGGGCACTTACAAAGACCAAAATGCCTACACAGGAGGAAGCTTCTTTGTGCTAGATGCCACTGGAAAGGATGTATCACAGATGCTAAAGGCAGCCTTGAAAAGGGAGTTTCAAAGCTATTTCTGAGCACCATGAAATAAAAGTACTGACTCCCAAGGTAACCAACCATGCTAAAGAAATATCCTTTTGGAATGAGAATACTTCTCATTCTTTCCAGTTTGGTGTCACAAAAAGTGTCTGCCATTCCGTAACCAAGCTAAGGTTGACAATACTCCGATAATAATGTGGGTACTTATTAGGGAGCAACATACTCTCCTAGGATTGGAACAAAGAAATATCTTAAGGAGAGCCTGGCAGGAACAAGCAGGCTTTCTAGGAAGATGGTTACAATCATCTCTAGATGATGGCTTAGACACAGCACCATCTGTGAGTAGCCTCTCTCCTAACAAAAGGTCTGGCGTGTGCTGAAGGGCACAGACACTTGCCCAGGTGGTGTGGTTTTTCCCCAGCGTGCCCGTTATCCAATCTGTGTTCAGATCTCCTAGCCCAGACTGAGAGACGATGGAGACAGCAAAATTCAGTTGCATAGTTCTTTTGTTTTTCTGTTTTGTTTTGAAATTCCCTTCCATAGCCCGATGTGCTCCAATTTACCACTAAGAATTCCAAAATCAAAAGATGAAAGACAAAGTTTTTTTAGATTTTTATCATGAAGCCCAGTCTCATCAACAATTCTCAATCTAGACAGAATTGGTTATTCTGCCAGACTCATTACTAAAACAAAACAAAACAATTCAGTTTGACTATCTCATTATTGATTTAATATTTAAGATGGCTTAAAAAAAGGAAGAGCTAAGTAGGCATGAAAGGAATTTAAAATCAAATACAAGGAAATTGTTCAGAAGGTACATTTTATGTCATGCTCTTTTTAATGCAATTAAAAAAATGTTTTTAAAATGAAATACAAGGAAAGAGGAAACCCAGCAGCAGGGTGACAATTAAATCAGATCCTGTGAGTGCACAGCCATCCTTCAATGTTACTGAATTTTGTGCAGGGACATTTGGCCTTCAAGAAACAAGTTTTTCCTTAGTATATAACGGTGGGCAGAATAAAAACAGCAAGAGATAGAGATTTGTTTATTAAAGAGGCTTTCAAAGATAACACACAAGACTTAATTCCACCAAGGCAGCTCTCTGTAGGTCAGGGTGAGATTTTGTCCTTTGACCCACACCTCATGTTAAAGATAGGGCTCTCAGGCAGATGGTATCAAGGGGGTGGTCAATCACAAGGCAACAACAATAGTAGCAAGAACATTTACTGAATACATATCTCATGGACTATGTGAGGCATGTTTCATGGTCTCTAATCTTTACAGCAATCCTACAAAGAAGTCATTATAAAGATAACCTCTTTGTATATGGAGAAATGGAAAACTTAGTGGAAGATCAGCCAGTAAGGGAAGGACTTTGGATGTGAACTCTCCATCTGGCCAAAAGTTAATGCTCATTTCACTGAGAGCAATGTATGACCTCTCGGGGAACTATAACGATTGTTAGGTGATTTCTAGGTCACTGGATGAGACTTAGTTAGAAAAGTAAAATGTGAAGAAGCATATAACCACTCTGAGAAAAGGTCAAGCAGTTCTTTATAAAACTAAACACACATCTGCCTGGTGTCCCAGCAATTCCACTCCCAGGAATCCTGGATAACTGCCTACTTTACAGACAATTACAGATAAGATAATCAGTTCAAAGAATGAAGCAACTTGCCAAGGTGAATTTGTACAGAGTGGCACAGGTGGATATATTGAAGGGAGAAGAGAAACCAAGAAACGTAGCACAGTTATTCAGTCCTGAAAAGAGGAAAGTGGGGCCGGCCTGGTGGTTGAGGTGGAGAGATCTCACATGGCCAGCCTCACATTCGAGTCCCAACCTGGTGACTTGAGAAACATGCCAGGTGCATGTGGGTAGGTGCCCTAAAAGAAGGAAAGATGGAAAAGGAATTGTGGTGTGACTAAGCCTTATGGGGGGGGGGGGGGAGTAGTACTCTTCCTACCTCTCCACCCAAGAGCAAGGTATGAATACCCTCTAACAAAATTAAAAAAGAAAAAAAGATGAAAGTATCTAAACAGGTAGATAATAATAACAATAACAATAAAAAGGAGAACATTATTAAGTGTGTGTGTGCATATCATATACATATATAGATGTGTACTATCCATATACAAGGTATTTTCTTAAGAGAGATTTTTGCTATAGGGTGTGTGCACTCACCAGAGAGAGAGAGACAGACAGACAGAAAGTGAAAAATCACTCACTAGGGAGGATGGCCACGCCATAATCCTTTCTCTCTCATTCTCCTCTTAGGATCCTGGACACGCATACACACGCACCCAGTGTGTTTTAAGCCCCCAGGTCCAGGACTCCAAATGGTATCAACTAAGTGGGAGTTCAGCAACGTAACCATTACACCACCTGCTAGTACCAGAACATAATAATCTAAAAAAATCAACCCATCATAAATGTTTTTATTTATTTTTTAAGTTTCTTTTTTCATTAAAAAGAGAAACAATATCCCCAATAGGGTCTTGACACCCTGCTCTATTTCCAGCCTTTAGTTAGTCCCCAGGGCATAAGTATATGTCTCTGGGCTTGAATCAAAAACCTTTCCAGGTAGGATTACCTTTCAGAGCAAGTTATCAATCTGTCACTGTTTTTATCTATTTAAAGAAGAATTATTTAACTTTATTTAATTATTTTAATTTGACCAGAGAGCGGGGTGGGGGTGGGAGGGAGAGAAAGCCACCAGGTCTTGGGCTCGAATCACAGTTGGCCATATGGGAGTCCAGCACCTTTAACCACCATGCCACCTGCCAGCCGCCATTGTTTTTATTTTTAAAGCACCTTGTTGGGAGCTTGTTAATGATACCTACTGATAATTTTAAAAAATGTAAGACAAAAAATATTTCTTTCATTTCTCTCAAGATCAGCAGGGGAAAAGGCAAAGGGCCTAAACGAAGTCTTCCTTTCAGCTTCTACCAGAAAGGACATTAAATCCGCCACTTTGAAAATGGTCCTAAAAGATTGGAAATGATGGACCAAAATGACCAAAAATATACTACATTACCATCACATCAATGACTTAAATACAGATGACAATCTAGGAACACAGGACATGGACAGGGACCCACTGATAAAATATGCTTAAATGCTAGCTCATACGCTGCACTGTTAGTAATAAAACTCATTTCTTTGATTCAAAGCTATCAATCCACACTATTCCTGAATAAGATTTAAAGATTTTAATCTAGACGAACTGGCTTCCAGCTGGGTGAAAATAATTTAAGAATTAATGGAGGGGCCAGTAGGTGGCATGGTGGTAAGAGTGCTGGACTCCTACATGGCCAACCACAGCTCAAGTCCTGGACCTGGCAGCTTACTTTCTCACTTTCCCTTTGTGTGTGTGTCTCTTTCTGGTCAAATTAAAATAAATAAATAAATAAATGAATAAGAAAAAAAGATGAAAGTATCTAAACAGGTAGATAATAATAACAATAACAATAAAAAGGAGAACATTATTAAGTGTGTGTGTGCATATCATATACATATATAGATGTGTACTATCCATATACAAGGTATTTTCTTAAGAGAGATTTTTGCTATAGGGTGTGTGCACTCACCAGAGAGAGAGAGACAGACAGACAGAAAGTGAAAAATCACTCACTAGGGAGGATGGCCACGCCATAATCCTTTCTCTCTCATTCTCCTCTTAGGATCCTGGACACGCATACACACGCACCCAGTGTGTTTTAAGCCCCCAGGTCCAGGACTCCAAATGGTATCAACTAAGTGGGAGTTCAGCAACGTAACCATTACACCACCTGCTAGTACCAGAACATAATAATCTAAAAAAATCAACTCATCATAAATGTTTTTATTTATTTTTTAAGTTTCTTTTTTCATTAAAAAGAGAAACAATATCCCCAATAGGGTCTTGACACCCTGCTCTATTTCCAGCCTTTAGTTAGTCCCCAGGGCATAAGTATATGTCTCTGGGCTTGAATCAAAAACCTTTCCAGGTAGGATTACCTTTCA